GGTGTGAGGATAAAATGGAGGAGACATCAGGCGCTTTGGGTCCTCGCCGCAGAGAAAGGTGGGGTAGAAATGAAATAAATAATAATCATTGAACACATTCTCAGCCGAAGATACCTCACAAGGGTTGTTGTGAGGAGAAAATGGAGGAGATCATAAATAAACGGCCCTGAGGTGGTACGGCCCTCAAAATGGAGGGATAATAAATAACAATAAACACATTCTCAGCTCAAGGTACCTCACAAGGTTTGTTGTGAGGATAAAATGGAGGAGACGTAAACTACTTTGGGTCCCCACTGAGGAGAAAGGCAGGGTAGGAATAACGGAAATAAATAAATAAAGGGCCCTGAGGTGGCACGGGCCTTCAAGATGGAGGGATCCAGATCAACCGTCGAGCGGAGGCGTCCGCATGGCTTCCTCACTTGGCGTTTGCATTAGCGTGCCGCAGTGGAGTCACCGAGGCGGTTCCTCCGAGCAACTGGCGTAGCAATTTCTGAGCCGGCGAGCACGCCAGGGTAAATCTGCCTTCTACTTTTAACCCCGTTAAGAGATAAGGAATGATTATGCTCCTAATTACTGTGCCGTTACTTTATTGGTTAAATTAACATTCAATGGCAGGGGGCTTTGCTGTGCAATATACAATATTATTTTGCCTACTGTGCACTCGAAGGCTTCCTGTCACAGCAACAGCAGGCCGGCGGGAGAAATCCTTTTAACAAATAGGTAAATATAAGCCTTGGGGGAAAAAATAAAGGGGAAAGGGGTAATTATTTCAGCTATGTTAGTGGGTGAAGGGGGGGGAACGGGGCTAAAAATAAGTTAAAAAAAAAGCTGGGGAAAATATGAAAACGTTCTGTTGGGGGAATAGCTATGAATCCGAAGAATCGCAGATGTGGCGGCGTAAGGAGAGTCCTGCTGGAACAGTTCAGAGGCCCATCCTGTCTAGAATCCTGTTTCCCATAGTGGTTGACCAGATGCCTCTGGGAACCCCACAAGTGGGGTATGGAGGTAGGAGCTCTTTCCTCTTGTTAGTCCCCCCCAAGCAACAGAGAAGAGGAGGAGGAGGAGGAGGAAGAGGAGGAGATTGGATTTATACCCTGTCCCTGCCCTTCACTACTGAAAGAGTCTCAGAGTGGCTTACAGTCCCTTTCCCTTCCCCACAACAGATGGGTAGGTGGGGGCTGAGAGATCTCTCTCGAGAACTGCTCTCTCTCAAGAACAGCTCTGAAAGAACTTGTAACTGACCCAAAGTCGCACCAGAAGCCGCATGTGGAGGAGTGGGGGATCGAACTCTCCCAGATTAGAGCCCGTGCTCCTAACCACTACACCAAACTGGCTCTCAGTACACCAAACAGCTCAACGGGGTAATGTTGTTTTTTTCTCATTTCAGCAACCCATCTTCAGTTTGGGTGGCCTTCGGTCACCCTCGTCCTGGTAATCCTGTGCTTGATCAAGTAAGTCTCTCTCCTTCAGTCCAGGGGGGTGGGGTGGGGCACTTTGACCGAAAGGCAGTAGAGCGATCAATGAAACCAGCATTGCAATAAGAATTTCTCCAGATCTGCCCTAAATCTTCTGGAGCCAGTCTGGGCAGTCGCGCTGTCTGGCTAGTGACTCTTTTCTCTTGAAATCTCCTTTGCAGGGTTTTGTTTTGTTCCCTGTTCTTCTTCTCGGTCATTTGGTGTTCGAACCGGAGGAAGGCTCCGTCGGGAAGGAAGTAGCAGATGATGAAGGTGGTGCAAACCGGATGGATCGACCACAATTCCGTTGCTCGGGGAAGGCAAGAGCACCTCCTTACTCCTCTGCACTGCTGCATCCCCTCAGCCTGTGGACTGAAAGCAGAGTTTGGCTTTCCAAACTGGCGCTTAGCATCTGGAGTTCTTGTACAATCAGCAGTCGGTTTTATTTTAATTAAAGGTCTTTTTCCAGTATTTTTTTTTTTGTATTTTTTGTGTGTGTACGCACCTGGAGCTGCGGTGGCTCATGTGGTTAAGACGCTGAACTGCAGGCTGTGGAAGGTCAGTAGTTCAGCAGCTCGAGACCCGAGTGTGCCGCATGACAGAGTGAGCTCCTGTCTCTAGTTCCAGCTCCTGCCAACCTAGCAGTTCGAAAGCAAGAAATTGCAAGTAGATAAATAGGGACCGCTTCAGTGGGAAGGGAACAGCGTTCCGTGCGCCTTGGTGTTTAGTCATGCCGGCCACATGACCACGGAAATGTCTTCGGACAGTGCTGGCTCTTCGGCTTTGAAACGGAGATGAGCACCGCAACCCTAGAGTCGGACTCGACTGGCTTTCGAGCAAGGGAACCTTTACCTTTACTTACGCTCCTGGAAGCCATGGCGACCTCTAGTGACTGACCCCTACTGGGGGCCTGGGGG